AATAGCTTACCATCACCAGTGTGTGAATGGGTGGATGACTGGATGTGTAAAGTGCTTTGGGGTCCTTAGGGACTATTAAAGTGCTATACAAATACAGGCCATTTACCATATGCAAAGTCACAGAAAAATGCTTTTTTCTTACTCTTTTTTTGCTTTACATTATTGGAAGTGTTTCAATAACCCAACTCACAAATAATAAGTATGTTCAGATCTCCAAATTACAGAGCCCTGGACACAAATGTTTGGCTTTTTTTTGTTGGTCATTATATGTAGCCTACAGTGATGTGTTCATAGGTGTATAGGAAATAGTTCTAAAGTGGTAGCACTGTTTTCGCCTGATAAATATAAAATAAAATATATGAATAAAAGCTATCACAATGTAACGTCACTAAAAAGTACTGTTACTGTTACTGTGTTAGCTTTGCAACAAACTGGTGACCTGTCCACGATGTACCCTGCCTCTCTCCCTATATCAGCTGAGACACTTCCCCGCTGAAGTGGATGGATGGCTATTAAATAGAAAAGCAAGCATATCAGTGCAACAAGGGAATACATCTGAGTAGCAACATGTTGTATCTGGCCAACACATACAATACAGGTTATGGTCAGTGTCAGGCTTTGTGGGTTAGGATGTTATGCATACCTCAGTCAAAGCTGTGCCTAGCATGATAAATCAGTGTGTGAGTTCAGAGCTCAGGCACTCCTTTGCACATAGTCTGTATTCAAATGATACATGTGTTCCACTTGAGTTGGGCGACTGTCTTCCTACTGTTTCATTTTGACTTCTTTTTCACAGAGTGACTTTTACCAATAATGATCATGGCAAGCGTCCAAGGCTTATCCTGTTATCTTTCAAACTTCTTCCTGCCTATAACAAGATAGTGTACTTTCAGAGTTTTGTGTATTTTGTGTCAGTTGTGTTTGGTTTTTCTTGTTTCTTTCTGGATTCCCAAACAATGAGGGGGAACCTGAATGTGACCCAGTTGTCTCAACAACTTCCTGACATACCCTGAACCTAGAGGTCAGAATGGAGTCTGAATGTTTTGGTTTGTGTCTGTGTCGTACACTGACGACTGTAAGTCCAAAATATGTTCGTGTCATAGAAATCTGTGGTACAGCAGTGGATATCGAGGTTACCCAAACTATGTGTTTTTTAACTGATACTGCTGGTATGGTACGGCTCTTAAAGCAGTTTTCACTGAGCCAGTGTGAAGTTCTTGTTGGACACTCTTGCTTTTTCCTACTTACTGTCTTAAGTGCTACTACTTACTACTTACTGTCTGAAACTGTTAACATGAAAAAAACACAAAAAAATAGTGGTACTGCTAAACTCCCACTTCTCCTTTTCTCTTCTGCTTTCCATCTTTTACAAGAAAATTCTGTTTAAGCAACATGACTACATGTATTAGAGAAGAGAGACAAAACTTGGACATTTTGTTAAATAACCCGTGTTAGTGTCTCAAAAAATATGCTCCTGTTTGACTCTCAGAGGGTCTAAATTGTCATCAGTCCTTTGCAATGTTTTTGGTTTTATGTTTTTTCTCTAAATTCTTGGCATTTAGGAATTTAAAACCAAAAACAAAACTAATTTTAACTAAAAAACATCAAAAACTATTCACACCTCCACCCAAAGCAATACTAAAACTAGTGTGTTGATACTGTTTTTTTCAGTCACTTTTGACCTAGCAGTGTGACATACAGGATATGGTTGATGTTAGCAACTAAATACATCCCACAACTGAGGAACGGATGAGAATGTAGACCTCTTGCTAACCAGTGAAACACCAAAAGACTCTCCCCTTTCATCTCACATGTTATAGCAAAAAATGTTGTTAAAGTTTACATTAAGATCTTTCCTTGCATTTTCATTAAATTTCTTAAGCTACTAGTTTGAAGGTTCTGTAGAAGTAATTAGAAGTGCTAACTGACAAGTTTAATCCTGCTTTCTTTCAGCTTTTATCTCACATTACTCTGTATCAGCAGTGATTACAAATATGCAGTTGACTTAGAACATTTGGATGAATTTGAAATGAATAGATGTTGACTGCTATTCATAAAGACTCAAAAATTCCCGCATTGTTGAATGTAGTGTTCAACACTCTGTACTGATCGTTGTGACAATATGTGCGAAGAGACATTTCCCTTTTATAGCTGTGAAAAAATAGCTCCCCTGCATGTAGAGGAAGTGTGTTCATGCTGTCACCAGCTTTTCACACCTCCGAGCTAAGCTTTTACAAAGTGCTGAGATCATGGGTGTGCGAAACCTTTTTTATTTTTGTTGCTGCTCGTGTTCCGCTTTGTTGCATATTCTCTTTTTGTGCTCGCTGACCTTTTGGTGAAACTAGTAAAAAAAGATTAAAATGAAAAAAAGAGATGAAAGAGGGAATAACAACATAGAGGAACAAAATAGTTTCGAACGGCATGGTAGTTGTGTAAGCAACTAAACAAGTAAAATGATTTACCTAGTTCTCCTAGTCATTTGAACTCTGCCGTGTAATTACTCATTTAATAAAGCAGACTTATCCAAATGCTCACTGTCTGGCAGTGAATTAGGAGCTACATCTAAAACTTTAACTTGTAGAACAAATCAAAGTAAATTTTCTCTTGACTTTACAGGCAGAAAATGACTGTATTATTCAAACATGCTTCAAATCCACTATGTGAATATTTTCTTAGTGCCAAATCAAAATGGCGTACTCGGTGTGAATATTTTGTCATGGTGATGTTGCATAATCTAGTGGAGAAATATAGGTACTACACTTTTACTCTCGTATCCCCCCCTCCCACACTAGATTCACTAGGCTGGCAAATTAACTTGCCAATGTTGGAGACATGTGGCATGCATCATTTCAGCTGTTGTATTTAAATATTTGGTGCAAATCTGACTTCTGCGCCACCTTGCATTTTTATTCTCACAATATATGGATGCAGCTTTATGCAATAATGCATCTATTATGCCTGGGGAAATTTAGATGTTTGATTGCTTTAAAAAAAACTCTTCTTGGTGCTGCAGATTAGGCCAGTCAATTTCTCAGTAGAGACCATATTAGATGAAAGATAATTTTCAGTGTTGAGAATTAGTCTTATCAAGTGCAATGTGGAAAATAACAATTTAACTAGTGCTACTGGGTTGAAAATTAAGGTAGATCCACTAACTCAGCATATTCAGCAAGTTTAAGGAAAACTCCTAAATATGCTGACTTATGTGTTTTAAAAACAGTGCTGGTTTACGTGTGCAGCTGTAAAGCCAGAGGGCTGCTTTCGGGCAAATGATAAAACCATGTTTTATGTTAACACCCCCCCTCAACAGACCCTCTAACCACCAGGTCCGAAGGGGAATCTTTCAGACAGTTGTTTGGATATTGCACTGAATTTTTAGATAGTGTGCACTGAAAT